TATATATATATATATATATATTGAAGAAATCGACTTCAAAAGATTATATTTCCATGGTGTGAAGTACGGTTCCCTGCTAGTTTCATATATATATAAGCATCTTTTTATTATACAAACATGTATATGCATAACTGCAAATTCTTATTTTACATCACTTGCACACATTTTATTGTGCTGACTCGTTTATTTATTCAAGGTATCATTAATGTTATATTGATGTAAATGTGTGGGCTCTGCATGGTAATTACAATACAGTGTTAGTTTTAGCATCAAGAAAGTGTAAAGCACTGTTAATATACACTTTCTTAAATCTGGTCTTCATTTTCAGCTGAAAAGAATTAAAGTGTCTGAAAGTAAACAATCAACACAGAGAATCTCTTATGTCTGATTTAAAAAGATTAAATTATAAAAAGAAGCTGTGAGTTTCTCATTTCCATCAGCTCTCATTACATCATAATGTTGGGCAGCAGGGTCACATTTCTTGCTCAGTATGCATCTCATTACCAAACAAAAGTGAATAGGTATTGAAGAAATCGACTTTTCTTAATCAGATTATATTTCCTTATCATGGTGTGAAGTGCTGTTCCCTGCCAGTATCATTTTACGAAATTGATGGTGTTATGTTAACAGTAGGTCAATTGGACTCTGATCATGTCACATAATGGATAACTAGCCTTTGTTTAACCCACTTCTTTACAGTCGTTATAATCTGTTTATTCTGATTACAAGTAAATTATAAAGGTCATAACACATCAAGTAATTCTTTCACACAGACTTTTCTATCATTTATGAATCATACAATTATGCATGGGTAGCTACTACATTTAATGTTATAATCTTAGTCATAACGGAAAATCAACATCGTCAGCTTTCTATGTTTAGATCGCGTCTGGGATTTTTGAAGAGTCGTTTTCTTGTTTGTTTCACAAGAAAATAAGAAATCTTGTGCTCGTCACCAACTCATAAATTGCTTTTACCGTGTATGAAATTTCATACGTGCATGAGGACAGATGATCCAGCAGCGTACTGAACTCTACGTGTGATTATGTTTCTAGTGAGGTTTTGCAATATTAAGGAAGATGATAAACAAAGCCACGTGTTGGAGAACGTGGTCCAAAGGGGGCGGGACCACGAACATTTCCGGCTTCTCCTCCTGACAATATAAATACAGCTGCGCACTTTTATCATCAGGAACGCGTTCACAACATGATATAATATAGCAGTCAACACGCGAGAAAATCACTTTAACAGCTTCTCAAGTTTAACACTATCAAGGTTTCTTTCGTTTTCACTGGTTTTCACATCTTGACAATGCCGTTTTTTGGACAAGACTGGCGGTCTCCTGGTCAAAGCTGGGTGAAAACCGAGGACGGCTGGAAAAAAACGACGAAAGATGAGAACGAGACGAATAACAGTGTTTCAGAACGGAAGAGGTAGTGTTTAATGATTCAGC